ATATATTTAAAATTAAAAATTATATATACTCCTCTATACTTAAAGAATGATCCAAGTTTAGTACATTTGAATTTAATTTATAAATCATATCTACTCCTCTATACTTAAAGAATGATCAAAGTTTTAGTACATTTGATTTATTTTACTGCTTATGATACAGTAAATTACTGTAGTATAAATAGTAACTTCAATTATGGAGAAAAAAAATTGATTTACTGTTTATGCTATAATAAATTAATGTAGTATGAACAGTAACTTTGAGTAAACATGAACAACATTTACTGTAGCATTTTACTGCAGAATGAACATTGATTCTTTGGATTCTCCTTTTAAATATAGAGGAGTAGATACTTTGAAGGTAGTTGATACCGATTTGACTTTTTTTTAAAGATAATATTCATGAAAAGAAGCTACCTAAAATTACACTTCTACCTAGCTATAGCCCATTACACTTTCTATTAAAAAAATACTTTGAGGCTACATGCAAGGTCCACTTGCATTCAAAATTAGTCTCAGTTAGGGGGTGTTTGTTTCACCAAAAAAATTGGCATTTAGTATGGATTATAAGTTTTGGGATCAAAAAGTGAGTTTTTTTTTGGGTATTTTGGGATTCTATATATGATGTTTGTTTTAAGAAATTTTTTAGAATAATGAATCCCAAAAATACAAAAAGTGCCCAATTTTTAGAATTTGTCAAATTCTCTCAATTTGAGAGGATTTTGACAAATTTCATAAATAAGTGTGCTTACCTCTCAATTGAAGAGGATTTGACAAATCTCAATTTTGTCTTTTTGTGGGAGGTAACCTCACCAAGATAGCATATTCATCATATTACAAAATTTTAGCATTTGGCAATACTACAATTTGAGCTTGAAATAAACAAAATATTACAAATTGTAATATTCCAAATCCAAAAATATTAATGAAACAAACAACATTTTAGAAATCCCAACCCATAACAAAATACTTATGAATTTTAAATCCCATGGTGAAATCCATATTCTAAAATTATAGGATTACCGTACTCCAAACATACGGGAAAGAAAAACAATCAGATGGAGGATCATGCAGACAAAAATATATAGAAAGAAGGAGATTTTAACATATACTATTAGCCAAACCTCCTCCTTTTTCTTCCTTATTATTCCTCAAATTGTTTTTTCCCCAAACTAATATGCATCACGCTTTTATTGATGATCCTTTAGTCCACTTTTTTTCCCCACCGAATTCTTCATGCGTCTTTCTTTCACACTTCTTTCCTTAATTAAACTAGTCCAAATCCAACTTGAATTGATCGAATTGAACCGATTGGACTAATTTTGATCAATTCGATTCGATTTTAAATATAGAGTAATTCATCTTATCTCGTCAAAATTGGTAAAACCAGACTGAAAAAAAAAAAAAACGTTTGCTCACCCACAGAACATGACCAAGGGTAGTTGTCGTCTTCAGCTCCACTCCAGTCCCCTTATCCAGCCGTTCAAAAGTTCCCCACCGTTCCATGATAACAAAACACCAAAACATCTTTACATCCAGCCCGCGGGCCCCACACGCTAGCTACCTTACACACACGCATGATCAGGATCCAGCCCACGCTCCACATGAGTCCATGGCCCTCATCCTCCCCCTTCACGCGCATCCAGCAAGCTTACCCGCTGGGCCCCCACCACAACAGCCTGCTCCTCCCGTATAACAGACGCGCCCCTTCACCCCTCCCCCAAAACTGTCACCGCTAATCAAATCTTCACCGAAGAGAAGAAAAAAAGCAAAAAAAAAAACAAACGACTGGAATGGGAAACTAACATTTCGTGCACCCTCACCCGGCGCCACCCGGGGACCGCAACCAGATCGTCCTCACCCACCTCGCAGATCCGGCCACGTCAGCGCCGGGTCCCACACGTCGGCCGCCGACCTCATGCTCGACTTCCCGGCGCCACTTCCTCGTCAGCTCCGCTCCCTCCTCATCGGCCGCCGCTTCCTCCCCTCTCCGCCGACGAGGACTTCGAGCCGCCGTCACGCGTACGTCATGTTCCCATGTCAGGGTCAACTCTCTGGTCAACGCCAGCCGACATGGCGCCCCTTATCTTGGCGGCCGGGAAAGGCGGTTAGGAAGCGACGGAGGGAGCGCACGTGTATTGACGGAGGTGGCGCCCGGCCGCGGCGGAGCGAGGCAGGATGAGTCGGGTGACGGAGTTTAGGAATCGGTTGAGTTTGTGTAGGTCGAGGAGGCCGTCGTTGGAGACGATAGTGGAGGAGACCTGTGCTTGTTAATTTTTGTGGGGTTTTTTTATAATTACTTTTTTATTCCACTTTAATCATGGGTTTTGAGTGATAAAGGGGAGGAACTGTTATTAATTTGTAAAAAAATTTTAGAGGTGTAAAATTTTTATGATATATATGGTGATAATCACTATGTATTGGATTGGATTAATTGGTTGGCTTCGTAAATGGATCGAGTTATTACCATAAATAAAGCTTTTACTTTGTCGTATATTTGTTCTCTTTTGTTTTTTTTTTTTTTTTTTGGGGGGGGGGGGGGGGGGGTGTGAATCACGGAAATTGCTAATGGATTCCCAATCTTACTAGTTGTTTCAAAATGTATGTTAGCCCCCTGGTTTTTATAGTTCGCTTCAAATCAGTCTCTATAGTGATCAGTAGTGTTTGTAAGATATGAGAATCGAGGGGCCTAATAGCAACTTTAATAATTTAGGGACTAATTTCATAATATATTGAAGTTTTTTTATAACTCAGCTCGAAATCGAACAGAAGACCGTGGGAGCTATATTGGAGCCTTCAAATCGCCTTGATCACCCAAAGTGGGTCATAGTATATTTAAGATTTAAGGAATTAATATTGAAAAAAGCCTTATATTCTTTCGTAGTAACATAAATATGTTTGTTAGATAAAAATTATATTCATTAATATTACTCCATCAGATCTTTAACATATTAAATTAGTCTCTCAAATTATTATTAGGTCCCCCAAATTTTATAATTTGCTTCTACTAGCCTTGATTGGAGGGATTAGTTTGAACCAAGTCATAAGAATTGTGGGATCTAATAGCAGTTTCAATAGATAAAACTTATTTCAAAAATATTAAAGAATTTAAGGGACTAATATAGAAAATACATTGTTTATAAATGTAAACACATTTGGTCTACAATAGTGAGTGGTAGTTTTTTTTTTTTTTGCAATTGTATGTACAATTTTCATAAGGAAAATGATAAGTGCATTACAAGGGTTGTATTATTCTTGTACTAGTATACACAAAAAACAAGAACTCTTTTTTTTTCTTCCAATTTATAGGAAAAAGTTCTATTGTGTATAGGAGTATAAGAATAGTGTAACTATTGTGTACAGTTCAATACTCTTTTCATTTTTTTTTGCATTTTTTACAAGAAAGAGCACTAGCTCATATTTAGTCTAGCGCAGTGCTCCGAGCTCACCGTTGTGCTAGGTATATATTGGACTGCGACTAAGGGTGGAAATGAATCGAATTTGATGGAATATCTGTAAATTTGAATTTGAACTCAGTTTGCTCCACAGCTAATTCGATTTCGAATTCATGCCAAAAGCCTAGAAGGTGTTCAAATTTCATTCGGCATATTAACTAGATATTCAGTAATTATTCATGAATATTTGTTACCACACTTGGCAAAGGCATTTGATTCTTAACCATGAGGTCATGTATATTATTTATTTTATTTTATTTTTACATGTTGCATAATTACTTAATGATTATTATGATATGTTACTACAACTTGTAAATTCATATATATTTATCGATAGTAATAGTAACATAAAAATTAGTATAATGTAATAATGTAGAAGTAGGGAGCCATCTCATTATTGATTTTAGAACCATGTGAATTTATTTTCTATCAACTTTTTTTAGCAAATAAAAAATGTAATTTAAGCTAAAACTTGCATAAAAAATTATTTCTAATAGATATTTTGTTATTATATATGTCTGATCGTGGTAGATATCTCAAGTGCAAAAGATAATATCAACTTAGAAGAATAAACTATAAAACACAAACACATAGTTAATAATCAATTGAATCTAATATACATTTGGTTAAATTTTATTTGTTCGTGAGTTGAATATTAAAAAATATTTATCCATAATTAAATGAACTATACGAAATATGACTAAATATTTAGATGAATAATAACCAATTAGTTTATTAATCATTTGGTTCATTTTCACCATAGTTGCGACAGTTTTCGGCTTAGGGGCTGTTTGTTTGCCTAAAAAAAAGGAGGGAAATCAAAGAAATGGAAAACTATTTCTAAGAAAAATTGTTTTGAGAATGTTTGGTTGGCTAAAAAAAGAAGAAATCAAAGAAATGGAGATGATGTTAGTTGTCACATTATTATAGGATGATGTGAGTGATTTTTTAAGAAAACTTGTTTTGATATTGTTTGATGGCGAAAAAATAAGGAAATGAATTATAAGAAACCTATTTCTTGTAATAAGTTGTTTTCTTTTGTTTGGTTCATTCTTAAAAATAAGAAAAATAGATGAGATGAGATGAGTTATCATTATATTATTGGATGATGTGACCCACACTTAAGGAAATCGTTCTCCTAGCTTTTTGGGAGGAAATGAGTGGAAATAAAATGTTAATGAGATGAGATGAGTTGTCACCACCGTATTGGATGATATGAGTGATTTGAAATGATGAGATGAGATGAGTTGAGTGATGTTGTGGATGAAAATAATATTTTATTAGATGAGATGAGTTGAGTGATGTTGTGGATGAAAATAATATTTTATTAGATGTGATGGATGAGTTGTTGGATAAAAATAATATTTTATTAGATGTGATGGATGAGTTGTTGGATAAAAATAATATTTTATTAGATGTTGTGGATAAAAATAATATTTTATTGGATGTTGTGGGTGAATTTTAGGGATGGAAATGAATAAATTTGTATTTTTTGAGATTTCCACATTTTCGTTTCCATTTCTCGGTTTTTATGAAATCAACCAAGCAGACGCTTAGGCCCAATAATTATTTGTACGCATCACGGTACCAAAAGGATCGCACTAATTCCTTCTCTGCTATCTCACCGGGCTCGTAGAATTCCCAAATTCGATAACCGTAATTCCCAAATTGAAAACCCTAGTTCCGTCGTCGACTCAAATTCGTCCTCGTTCGTGTCTTCTTCCTCTTAATCGCCGTTTCTCAAAATCCCTCATCGCTCGATTATCATCGCCGTTCGATCATTATAAAGTTGATCTTAAGACTAAAATTTGGGGGTCTACCTTTGATGATCAATGGGGTTATCGTCAACGGCGGCCAACACTGGCGAGGGATTCCAGTTATGCATCTTCGACTTGAGAAGGGGGCAGCTTGAAGGCCAAGAGCTCGACAAGATCCTCTTCTTCTTCCCTTCTGACTGTCCGTACACAGCTCAGTTGTCAGTGGTCGGACTTTGCGAAGGAATCATCACGTTTACAAGGTCAATCCTCAGCCCAACTGAGGTTTACTTATGATTTGAACCCTAACCTTTTCTCTGTATGCCTTTCCTGCATTGTTCTCTTAATTTGGGAGAAATCTGTTAAAGATTGAGAAAATTTGGGTAACTGAATGATTTGTTAAGAAATCTATACCAATCGTGTGTGTGTCGTTAGTGGATAAATATACAAGTACCTGAATTTCCTTGGATTCGACACGCAGGACATGCAGCCACAAAACTGTAGAACTAATGCAAGCTGAAGAGCTATAAGTCAATGCTTCTTTATTCATACCAAACCCTTGATTTTCACTCTAGTTGATGAAATGGCCTGCTTACTATTGCATTCCTGATTGAGGCTGAGAACAGTGGCAACCCAATAACAAACTACAGTGACTTATTGAATCAATTACCTATTTTCATGTATTTTGATGTAGTAGTTAGCTTTTTGATACTATGAAAAAGAATGATCCTATGGGGCAAATCAACTGTCATGAAATGTGTTAGGGCTGGGCATATTCGGTTCGGGTCGGTTTTAAGCCCAATCCGCATCCAATCCGAATTTTTCAAATTCTCAAAACTCTCATCCGGATCCAGATTTTCCTCCCTTCATCCGAATATTCGGCCCAACCGAAATTCGGATCGGTTCGGATCGGTTTTGGGCCGAATTAATTCCATTTCACAAAAAATTACCCACACCTGACATCATTACCTATTAATTTCTGATGAAGTATAATTATTTGTCCATTTTGTCTACTTAATTTCCCCCCCCAAACTATGAAATATGGAGCTTGTTTGAAGTAACACCATTGCCGCAACTAACAAAAAAACTAAAATCAGTGAAATGAGTGCAAACCATATCAACAAGTACATATCATACCACAATAATAAACTCATTAAAGAGTTACTTAGTTACAAATCATACAAATAGTCCAGAAATAATTAAAGGAACACCTACATAAGTTAGAGATTTTCAAGGTTATCGACATATAATTTTGGCCAGTGTTTTGTTTTTTAGTACATTAGGTTGGGGGCAATTTCAAGATTTTTCGAAAGGAATACAGCTGGTTGAATTAGTATGAGTTTTGACATGGTGCTATGTCTTTTGACAGTCTCTGGATGCAATGAAGAGCATTTGGAGAGCGCTTTCTCTTGTTGACATGGTGCTATGTCTTTTGACAGTCTCTGGATGCAATGAAGAGCATTTGGAGAGCGCTTTCTCTTGTTTTTGACTTAAAAAAGTCTTTAACCTTTGTGTTGCGCCATAGCCTAATATCTGTTTTATGTGGATTACATTGTTTTCTGAGATTTCTGTTGATAAGTTGTTTTCTTTTATCCGAATCGATGTGATGTTGGTTGTGTCCCGAGAAGTCTGGGTTGTGCTCAGTGAATTGAAGGGATAGGTTGCTGATGAAGGACTTTGGGTTATTTTTTGGAACAGATGCTCAACCGTTGAGGATTTTGAGCCTAGGGTGAAAGTAATAAGCTCTGGTATAGTTCACTTACTGGGAGAAATGGAGTTAGGGTTAGGGATTTTTTAGTATTTATATTAGAAGATTCGGTTCGGTTTTTTCGGACGGTTCAGGGGTTCAAACCGGATCCAAACCGGTTTAATTCGGTTCGGGTGGTTTAGAGTCTTCTTCTTATCCATTTAATCCGGTTCGGTTAACCGACCCGTTTTTTCGGACGGTTTTTTCGGTTGAACCAGTTTTTTTCGGTTTTTGCCCACCCCTAAAATGCGTTGTAGTAATTATTTGTCTTTTAGGATCAATTATTCATCAAGATGGTGAGATTGAGGATGGTGCGGTTCATCAAATCAAATTGGCAAGGTTAAGTAGAGTACTTCTAAAATCCTATGTCATTGTTGGATGTCTATAAATTTTTATAGGACAACTAGAAGACCCAAAATGCTTTATGGATCACGGTGTTGGACAAGCAAGGAACAAAACATTTGCAAAAATGAGCGTAGTAAATATCAGAACGTTACGATGTAGGAGTGCATAATTGCATTTACACTAAAATATTTGATAAGAAATGAGTGCATTCATAGGAAGTTAAAGGATGCTCCTATTGAGGATAAATGAGAGAGACTGAGAGAGTCATTTTGATTGTTTGGTCATGTGCAGTGGAGGCAATTAATGCGTCAATTAAGAAAAGTGATATTATGACTAATGGAGAAAGGAGGACTAGAGTCTTGAGGTAGGCTTGTAGAAGTCGGGAACGTGGTACGTTATAGTGAACCACAACTTGAGTCTATTGTCCAGGATTTGCGATGGAACGTGATCCAATTCACCAATTCCAGCCACCTGATTTTAGAATTCAAACTAGTTAAGATTTTGGGTGAAAACTTCTTTTTGAGGTAGTAAACAACAGAAAAAGTGGGAAATAAGTAAGTAAAGTATACACACCTTAATAGCATTATGATTCTGAAGGTTATTTTTCAATTACTGATATCAGCTAGCATATTTCTTAAATTTGACTCTTGCAGAACCTCTGATTCTACATTTAAGAATCGAACCTAAAGCGTACAATGTTCACTGGAGTAACTTATAAACGTATCCTTTACCCGCTTCCAAATGAGCGGCATACTATGCTCCCGTACCTATCCCATGAACCGTAATGAATTGAATTCCATGCGACTATGTGTAGGCCTAAGAGAACTTGTCAGATGTTGCTAAGAAGAGATTTGATAAAGATTAGCGTAGTGGAGGATATAGCCACCTGCATTGAGTGAAAGAGTGAGATTAATATAACAGGCCCTAGAAATTTGGTATGAAGGGGTTGTTAGTTGGCTTTTTTGTAATTAGTCTTATTTTCAGACTTCAGTCTTTGTGACTTGCACCTATTAGCTTCGAATCTTGGAGAACTTTTTCTGTTTAATTTGATTAGAATAGAGATTATTGATTATTAGAATAGTTGCTTTAGCTGTTGTGAATAAGCACTCCATCAACCTTTTCTTTTAGTTATTTTTAATTTAAATTAAATATACAACTTTTTTATCAAAATCCTCAAGGTCACATATTTAAATGCACATATCATTCAATCTTTTTTAAGAAACACACTATAAAAATTTGAACAAATGATCAAGTCAAAAACTGTCAAGGGCACCATAACCCAAATGCCGATCGTATCACACCTACCTCTTGTATTGTGTATCATTCAAAGTAGTACACACACACACAAGCACGTATAGACACACATACTCCCCCACCCAAAACAAAACAAATTTGGTAATGTTGGCTAGAACTTATATGGGATGAACACGGACGGACCTATGCAACTAGGGGTTAGTAGTCTCCCGTAATATAATTGTCCCTTGATCTATGGTTTTCTTCCTTTTTAGCTTCATTTGATAGGCATATAACTCTTTTTATTTGTTAGTTGCTCTCATTTTCCTTTTCAAATCTGCATTTGTATCTCCACATAATACAAAAATTATCTTTGTCACCATCTAAATTTGTAACAAAAGATGGATTTATAGGAGGCTACCTAAATATAATTTGATCTTGGAGGTTGAATTGTAGTCCTACCAATGCTTTCTTCTATGGTGTTTGTGAGCTTGTTGAACTATCTTTTGTTATGAAGGTCAATTTGGTGCTTCTATAAGTTCTCTTCTGGACTATGCTTTTTCTTTATAGGATTACAATATCTGTTTATGTTATCCTGTACTGTTGATGATTTTGTCAGCTTGGTGTGGCATACCTCCAGTTGCGTCATTATTGTGTTGAATTGTCAGTATATTATACTTCATTCTTGAGAATTTGTTCCTTTTTCCCCTGAACTCTTTTCTAATCCTTTTACTTTAATACTGTTTTTGTGATTTTGATTATATTATGCAAATGTAAATTTATTAGACCTGACACTATTATGACTTCAGTGCAATGCTTTGCTCTAGTTAACTTGACGAGATTGCGAGATTCACATATTCCCAATTAATAAAAAATCTTGTTTATGCAGAATCTTCTCTCCAGAGGCTGCTTCTGAGGTCATAGAAGCAGAGAGACACTCCCATATTTTCTATGAGGCCGAGCCAGATATATGGATGATTATGGTACATTTTTGAATTTTCTCGATGTTTTTAGGTCTGCTGCCAATAGAAGTTATTCTCTTGGTAACTAAACTTATATTGTAACATATACGGATAGCAGCATGTTTGATGTAACTTCATAATTGAAGGATCCAAGCTAATCGCTATGTAGTTGATTTTGTTGTTCTTTGTTGTTTTCCAAACGGTACAGTAGAGAAGAATATTAGCTGTATCTCTTGCTATTAATGACCCTTTCATAGTTCAGTCTTCCTTTCCTACTTAACATAGTTAACATATTGCACATCCTTTGCCGCTATTGCAGGTAGCGGAGAAAAATAAAGACATTGAATCTGTTTGGCGATGTGATGCACTTAGGCAAGTTCTCAAGGAAGTGCATTCTCTTTTCATAATGTTTCATGGATCTCTGAGGTCTTTGCTTGATAAACAACCAACTGGTGAACTTGCTCGAAGTCAGTTGTATTCCTTTGTCTTAGACTACTTAACTGGTAAGAGAGCACCTGTCTCAATCTTTTTACCCCCTTAACTGTCTTAATGTTGTCAAGGTGTTCAACTGTTAACATCTCATGTTTCATATTAATCGGCAATGCTCTGGCCATACTTTTTTTTCTATTAACTTAGGCATGTTTTGTTTAATTATTTTAAATGCACATGTTCTAAATCCGATGTCTTTGTACTAGCGGAGTTTCATGTTGGCAAAAGAATCCAAATGCCATCATTTCATGAATGTTTAAGGGAGCGCGGGACTGTTCAGATGCTGACAATGTCTCGAGAAGTGTCTATTGAAGTTCAGGTGCATTATCATAATCTTTGTGCTACAATGTTCTGTTCTCATATTATAGTTACGAGATCATAAATACTTGTTAACTGTGAACGAGATTGTGGCTTTATATGAAACTTTGAAATTCAAAAAGGGAGTAGAAGATTTCCCTCGTATTTTATCCAATGTTTCTTGAAATACTAAGAGACTTCTTAGGGATCCTTTTATCAACTTCTTTATTCCCAATTGGTTCCTTTTATTGAAATTGCTTAAATTATAATGGGAAATTGTCTTCATAAATTTGATTAGTTGCTAATTCCTTATATTGAAATTGCTTAAATGATAATGAGAAATTTTCTTGTGCACATTTGATTAGCCACAAATTGAAACGGTGAAAGTTAACGTGCAAGGGTATGGGCAGCGTAACGAGGTCACCTACCTATGTTCCGCCCACTTAGAGTGTGGCTACCCACTTGAAACACATTTGAGACAGTTGCGATTTTTTCCTCGCATTCAAGTCCAAAACTTGTCTGTAAGGAAAATAGCTTTGGAGACTTTGGTGAATGGCCGAAATGGAAGAGGAGAAGGAATGTTAAGCAAATTTTTTGAATATTTAGTTTATTGGTATCTCTATCTATATATGTTATATGGAAAAATGGGTATGAGTTGGTGTCTCATTTTGCTAAATGAGATACCAAGAGATGGTCACGTGGTGATGCCCATACTAAAAGTCACATCACATGGGTGACCTCATCACTTTTATCTCTTGGTAGCTCGTTTAGCACAATGGGCTGTCACCTCACAACCAACAATCCTATGTTATATATACATGTAAATCCCCATACATTGCATTTTACAAATTTGTCATGTTCCCTATCCATATCTCTACAGATACCCATAATCAATTTTGAATAATTATGAGTGGCAACAAATAATAATTCAAACTCCCCATAGTCAATTTTGAATAATTATGAGTGAAAACAAATAATAATTCCAGCTGGGCAACCATCTAAGATCCAAGCAAACAATCAATAGGCACTTAGGATTTGTCCAATAAGAGATGGATTTCATACGGTTTGTAATGAAAACTTGCCATCTTGTTAAATGGTTGTGTCGGGAGCAGATCCAGAAATTTTGGTCATTGGAGGCAAGACTACAAATCTACAAATATAAGTAGTATATGAAATTTTTACCTAAATATTAATGACACTAAAACTAAGTAAGCATGTATATGTACAACAAAATTGCAGTAGGATTATAAATTATTTGTATTTTGAATTTTAGTAGAGATAAGATTCTAAACCTTATATAAACGGTTTTAGATTTTCATTATATTTAGAGAACTATGAGGGATTTCTTTTGGGGGGTGTTTGTCGGGACGTTTTGGTGGCTGATTGGAGTCATTGTCCCACTGGGATAATTTTAACCCTTTGGGATAATTTGAGTTAGACAATTCATATGACGTCTTTTTTGAAATATGATATTTATGTATCAATGTATTTCAAATTTAACTTATTACATCAAATCATGAATAAAATAAAGTAGTAGTAGTAGTAGTAATAATAATAGTAATAATAATGATAATAATAAAATTAATCTTTGAATATTTTTTATGTATATCCTAATTTGTATGATATATTAACAATATTTTAAATTTCGTTAACACCATTTTGACTGAGTTATCACCATTTTGTCTTACTTTCGGAATTCACTTGCTAATAACTCTATAACATTATGTAATATGTATAGTTCAAAGTTCAAATATCGGCTCAAGAAAACTTCAATTATATTTCAGATTTATTTCTGATAGCAAAAGGTTTAATTGAACTAACACCATTTGGAATTATTGCCAGAATTCACTTTGCATACTTTTATGTAATATGCGTAGGCAAAAGTTCAAATATACTTTAAAGTAGTTTCAATTATATTTGAGTTTCACTTTTGACAAGCTAAAATTTTAAGTAAATATTTTTTCACTGAAAATTATTTTAAGATCAACATTATTTGGAAAAAAAACCCATGTATTTGTGTCTTCTATGAATCATCTTAAGGCAATCATAGGTAATATGCTGGGGTACCCAGACATGCTTTTTTGCTCCACGAGTCCTCACCCGACATGTATTAGACGCGGACTTGCCAAGGATTCGCTGAGGATTTGGTTCTAAGAGAAAAGAAAAAAGGCGTTGGGGGATCATTGCCGCTAGCGGGTCTCACCGTCGGATGCGCCGACGGACTCAAAGAGGGAAACTTGAGAGCTTACCTGGTGGCGGCACTCCATTTCTGCTGTCGAGCGTAGCCATGGCGGCGGCTTCCAAAGCCCTAAAAGTGAAGAATGGGAAGAAACGAGATAGGAAGATCCTTATTTGCTTAGTATTCGTTCGGCTGGGTTTTGTATCCAAAACCTATCAGATTAGAATGAGATTAATCGGGTTTGGACTCGGACCTAATACTGTCCCATTTAATCAAATTTATTTAAAAGCGGGTCCGACTTGTAAATAGATCCAAACCCGAACCCAGAAACCTGATTTTTTGGAAAATTATTACTAGATCCCTGATTGATCTAGAAATTATTTTGAAGTATACCAGTTTCTTATATTTGCTGTAAATTAGTTTTAGCCCATTGATTGAACCAAAATTGTTCTAGAACCCATCTAAATATATAGAATAATTTCGACCTAAAAGTTGTAGAAACATGCATATACAATTAATTCTTTATTTATAATGCATATACTAAAATTAGCATACACACGCTGTAGCTATTTTAACTTTTTAACTTCTACAAATTTGTGTGTCCCCATATCCTAACTTTTACAAATTTATCGTGTCTGTAACCATGTCCGCACCCGTATCTGTGCTACTTAGGTAAAGAATCTCTCGATTTCACAAAGAGGTACATGAGATTAATAGCTAAGGTCTATGATTTATTCGGGTCTATGTGGCAATTTTCTAAACACAACAGCGCCGTAATACAACCATGTGAAGGCAATCAAATCTCATCAATCAAGGAAACCCATTCAATTGGAAACATATACTTACCAACAAAACCCCATATAATAAGATATTATGAAGTCCACAAATAAAAAGTAACCAAATTGACAAAATAAGGTCAACAACCTTGCCAAAGACCATGATTCGAGCATGGTGGGGACCAAATTGAAGTGAGCTGCTGAAGGTCGCTGTAGAGAGGTACTGAAGGTGATTAATGTGGCTAGAGAGAGACTTAAAAGGTGAAGTCGCTGGTATGCTAAGCTGTTGATTGGGCTCGTCGAAAGCACTGCTTGAAGAAGTAGACGGCCGGAAGCTAGGAGACTTGAGAGGAGATAGGGGATGAAGATTAGGGGTTGGAGGAGAGGAGTGGAGGAGGAGGAAGGGCGGAGTGAGGGTCACTATTTGATTTTAGGGCTAGGGAGCAGGAGAGAACGCAGATCTAGGATTGAGTTTTTTTCATTGTATTCTAGTGAGAAGTTTGGGGTAAACTTGATGTTGGGGACAAAAAATCTATTATACAGTTGGGGTAATTTGGGAATAGTTGGGGGTAATTGTGCCAAATTGTCTCAAAAACCAACAAGACTATAAAGTAGAATCTCAGTCTCAATGATCCAATAATAACACTAAAAGGTGTTGTCCTAAAAATTATCCCAGTTACCTAAAATTTACACCAATGAATAACCCCCACCAAAAAAAAAAAAATCTATGAATAACATTATGAAGTTTAGCATGTGGATTGCTAGTTGAGTGGGCATGTGAATTGTCAAGGCGTAAATCAATCTTTCAGCTTACATGTCGTGAAACCGATCTAATCACTAGTTATCTTAGTTCTTTTTGTCTTAATTTGTTTTATTTTATTTGTTCCTTTACTTTATTCTCGTGTACCCTATAATATTTCTTTCTGCTTTTACTAAAAATCACAAAAATAAACCCAGTCTAAATTGCAAAGAACTAGTCTCTTAAAACTCTTCTCAAGTAAGTTCTTCATGATGTCAAATGACATCCTCATCCTTTTGATTTTGTTTATTCACTGGCTAATCATAGTCAAGTCCAAGTTAAACCCAACATACCCCTCTTCATCTTCTCCTTCGTCGTTCCTGAGAATGGAAAGCAAAAAGGAAATCAGTGCTTCAATTGCAAACAAACTTAACCCACAAGCTTCAATAGTTCGAAACCGTTCCTCATAAAAGGATTTAGGTGTTATATTGAACAATCTTGGAGGCTTGCGATCAGTTAGTGATAAAGTAGGGGTCAAATTGCTTAATATCCAATGTATTTGTTTGGGGTTAGTGGTGTTAAGTGCCCCTATTGTGGATCTGCTAGTGGTTGTGCACTGAGATTGGTCCATCACAATTTTAGGCACTACTTGTCTAGTCATATTGAGGGTTTGTACCAAACATAAGTTTTTATGTTTGGTAGTGAGGTGATATATTCCCCTCCACTCATTGAAATCGGGACTCACATTCACATGGGTTGGGAAGTGATTGAGAATTGTAATGAGTGAATGGGAATATGACACCTCACTACCAAGCATAAAATTTGTGCTTGATACCAAGCATACACATTTCTCTCTCTCTCATATATATATATATATATATATAAATAATGAGATTATTTCAGTTTCTTTGTAGTGGATATATTGGCCTAGTGTTCAGGTCTTAGGTTTTCTAGATTAATTTTAAACTGAGAGTGTTTTGTCTAGAATATAGTGTATTATGTTACTACATGCATGCATATGTATTTAGTGTACTACATCTCTTATCGATCACCAGTAGTTTGCAACTGGTGGTTTTTTTTTTTTTTTTTTTTGGGGGGGGGGGGGGGC